CTATGAAGCTATCCTTCACGATCTAGATACATCTCTCAAACTAAGACTTACAGAAGTGATAGAAGACCAAATATCTAAGAAATAAAATAATACTACTAATATATTCACATGTTCAGTGTCATTGATGTGCATAAAGAAACATGAAGTTAACAAAGAGTTCTGTAAGAATCTGGATTGATACCTTGCTTGTCCAGTTTGCCCCTTCCCAAACTGGAATCATGCATCTTTCACTACAAGGCTAGTTATACACCTCCACTCTAGCTTAAAAACACATAGTGTAAAGTAGCCGCAGATGTTGCACAAATACATAAATAGGGATATACTAATTTTAGTCCAGTTTATTTCAGCCTGGAACACAAGTTTATCAAAAGAAAAAGTGCTTTAGAAAGACTCCATTTCATAAAGAGCAGAACAGAGGGAGTGTCTCTGTAGCACTGGTTTGTTACTGGTGGTGAAAATAACGCTCCGACAGATAGAAATCATTGTAAAATCCAGCTGTGAACACGTATTATTGTCCCTCATATGGACGAATTTAAGTGTCTCTCAGGTACCATTTGATTTCAAACTGTCAGCTGAAATTTGTGCAGATGATGATGACACCAGCAGGACTATTGCTAAATCTATTTTTAAATAAAAAAAAAAACATTTCTCCTTGGCAGATTGAGAACAGCTCGAGAACACTATGGAACCATTTTTAAGGCCATTGCTTTTACAATATTCAACGTATTATTCTCCTTAGAATGCATTTTTGTGCAAAAACCTCATAATGTGCCTACTGCAAGTATGATTTATTGTTCGTGCTCAGATGGATGTCATCCATAATCTGCAACAAAAGCAAAAAGTAGAGGTGCAAAACCAGGATGCTTTCCACCTCCTGAAAACACAATGATGGGCAGTAGAAAAGAAACTATTCTGAAGTTCTATCAGTTTGGTTTTGCTTTGTTTTAAGGGTATGAAACGTTTCCAAAGCCAAATAAGTAAAATTAATTCAATTTACAGTTGCCTGAAAAATAGCATGTTGATATTCAAGGGTTGTGGAAAAGAAATAAGCAAAAAAGAAATAATCAAAGCATCAAAATATTTCTGGCATTTGAGATACTTTCCATGCCACGTTATTCATGAAGCACAGTCTTGCTGGAACTTGCAGGTCTCCAAATGGCAATACAAGAGACATGAGCAAAAATTTGCAAGTCTAAATACTAATTTGCAACAGACATGACATTATTCACTGAAATATTTGTCATACCAAGCAGTGAGCAGTAAAATTGGGATCTGTTTTTCCATGATCTAATATAATTTCAAACCAGCATGTCACAACTTTAAAATAATAAGCTATAAACTAGCTTGATCCCTATCCTTCAAATACGGTCTCATTTATTGATTAAGTCCACATTTATCAGGGCATGATAGTAAGAGGGAGGCCAGATTCTTGATGTTTTATATATGTAGAAATATCCTTGCCATATTGCATGAAATAGGAACACATATCACACAAGGCTAATCATGAATATAAGACAAGTAGAATTTCCTTGCAATTTTCAAGCAACAGCTTGTCGGCTCCACAACACTCTTGCCATTTACTTAAGTTCTTGTGGGTTATGGTCACATTCCACACAGTAACAAGATAACAGAGACTATATCCACCAACATAAAACTAATGCCTAGTTTTTCCAGGCAAGCCTGAATTCCTTGAAAAGTCTGAATAATCATCAAGCGAATCTTCCCTTCTACCATTAAAAAAATCTTCTTTTTCTCTGAGTGTAAAGCAGCCCTGAAACTACCACAGACAACATAAAAGGACTATGTCTCATTGCTTTCTCTTCTCCTGGAGAACAGAATATACCTCAGAAATTAGTAACATTTCCTGAAATCCAAAATCAATGTCAGATTAGTAAAACTGACTGTACTAAACAAATATAAATCACAATAACTAGCAAATAGAAATAGTATCTTAAGACAAGCTACCTGATAATCAAGATACGCATACAGTAGTAAGAATAGGTAAAACCCTAAAGGAACTTGTGGATTTGCTTTACTCAGGGCTTTGTCACTCCTTAGATACCGATTTTGGAACAAAATCAATAGTAGAGAAAAATCATTTTTAGATCTCCATATGTCTAGCCTTTTCCATTCTTGGCAGAAAGGAAAAAATTAGTATCGCATGAATGTTTTTTAACTGGCTGCATGTTAAGTGTGTCCAATATTAAGTTTTGTCTGTTGAGATGTTTGTTATATTGACAGGCCTTTAAAACCATCAAAGACATAAGAGTAACACAGTAGAAAGTCAAAATAGCTGTAGAGAGTTCAGCAGAACTTAATAGATATAACAATTGAAAAAGATAGCAGGAGATCCACATAAATCAATTTCAGACGTTATTTTATCTTTCCAGTATATGCAGGAGACAATTTACTGATTTGTGGAAAAAAACCAGGATATTTTAACAGGTTCCTTGTAACAGAATTAAAATTATATACAGAAGTATGGTCATGCAGAGCAATGACAGATGACGACCTTAATTATCCAAAAATCACTGCTCAATTATGATACAACTTACATTATCTGACATAAAAAACAGTTGAATTAGTAAAATATTTGGGGGAAAGTCTTCACACAAAAAGTCAGTCATTCACTGAACCTCATATTCAGTAAATGTCAAAGACGACTGCTAGAAAAGGGAACGCCAAAAAGGGAAAATGGACTAACTCTTAAAACAAAACAAAACAAAAAAATTGGAGTGGTTTGTGATACAGCTCATGTTGAATGACAGAAATATAAAACTGATCTGTGCACACTCAACTGGAAATATTGAGCACCATCTTCCTTCCCCTGTACACCAACAGCCATCACAGAAACAAATGTAAAATTCAAGGTCAGCATATGAGCTGATGTCTATGAAGTTAAATGGAGTTTCATTGTTAGTTTAAATGGTAGATGTCCATACCCTGATGGAACTGGAACTGCAAACTTCGAAAGGACAAAAGTACCGTCAACTGCATGAATAATTTGCTCCCCATTGAAAGGGGATATTCATATTACTTATGTAAATATCTGTGGCTAAGATGAGCAAAGAAAGAAATATGCTAAATTGTAGAAGGGAAGCAATTTCCTTTTTCCATACTATGAACTGGCATTTCTTTTGGGATGAACATTTGTTTCTATTGTAACTGGAATGCTGTATATAGAAGAATAATCACAATTTAATCAAGTCTCTTCTTGAAGGCTCCTTACAGAGAATGTAAGAAACAAGTGCAAATCCCCATCATGCTAGCAAGAACTTAGAAACTGCATGACATGGCAGAACACAAAAGAACAATATTTCAGGGACTAAAGGGGAAGAGAAAACAAGGTATTTGAGAAGGTTTTTAGAATTACTGTTGTCTGGAATTATTCGATAGCTCAGTGTAACAAATACAGAATCAAAGGAAAAAAAAAAAACAAATCACTGATCTGGAAAGGGCTGAACAGCCCTCAGAGCCCTCAGGCCAGGTCAGCTGTTCCTAAACCATCCCTGCTATTCCTAACAAACTACTTCTGCTTAATGGATGGATATTTTATCTAAGACTTACTGACCTGCATCCTACTGTGCCAGATCTAGAGGCACTGTATGCTTGATGTCACCGTGCTGTAGGTTTATTTTAGTGAAGAGGAAGGATTTTTTCCACCTTGCTCTATGTCTCCTGAAAACATTAATGGTTAATCCTCCAACTCTCAGACAAATCCAAGGATTTTAAATAACTCTGGTACCAATTCTCAATTCCATTTGATAATTCAGGGAGCCCTCAGCTCTCTCTTTTTTGCATGAATAACACAATTAGTGTGGGGGGTGTCAATCATATCTGCTGACTGCAAAAGAAATTCTCACCTCTTCCACATGTTGATTTGAACCACAGTTCTTAGCAATATGAGCATGTTTTGTATAACCTCCTGTTTAAGACCTTGAACTTAAACATTGCAGACTCAGTGCAGAGCTGTAGTCAGTTTGGTGACCACCTCTGGCTGTATACCCATGCATAGGATGCGAGTATAAGAATGGCTAGGATAATTCAGACTTTGGACTGCATACAGAAGCAAAATTTAATCATTCTAATTCTTATAGATAGCTGGGAGAATGACCTATTTTCTCAGCAGCTGAAGAGACAAAGCTGTTGTAAGGCTATAAAGATGATTTAAGAGTATGTATCAGTTTAGAGAGAGAAAAATTCTGCAAGCTCAGACAGTTGTAAAATTGCCACTTTATGGCTGTGTCTGCTTGGACTCTGCCAAATTTAAGAGGCCACAATACCTATATTATTGTATTCAATGTTTAGCTTATATTACCTTGCCTTTGCAATCAAATCTAACATTTAATATCACAGCCCTTCAATAATGATACTCCATGTCAATTAAAACCAAATAAAAACAGTTACTTTCAAATATTACTTGAGGCTCAACAGCAATTAGTCAAAGACTGAAGATGCAGAATTAATGATAAAATATACTTGCAACTTTTGGTCCACCAAGAATCCATATATCCAGTTTTCTTGCCTCCCTCAAGACAGCAGTGTTTTAAATTATCCCAGCATCATTACATTACACTATCAAACGTCTTGATTGCAAGAAAACAGGCAGATACTAGCATAATTAAAGACAACAATCTAATCTTTGCAATTGTCTAGTCATAGAGAAAACCAGATTCATCAAGGCTCGGCAATTGTGAAATTGGGCAGAATTTAACTCCACAAGATACTCAATTAATTACTGGAAATATCATAAAAATCAGACATGTTAAGTGCATAGAAATTACTAGGAGCTAGAAAGGCATTTCAAGATAAAAGTAAATCCTCGTAAGTACTTCCCTCCCCCTCTTTTAGTTTTGTTTTTTCTCTCTCTGTATTTACTTCAGAAACCAGGTTTCATTCTTGCTCTCTCTGAAAGATCTCTCTTCTGCCTTTCCAGGGAGATATTCCACTTTACAGTCAATCAGCCCTGGCTGAAGCACGAAGCCTGGAAGGTCCCTTACCTCCCGCCCGGGGGGGTGGTCCACAGAGCAGCACGACTCCCTGCCCCTCTCGAACTGACACCGCGCTCCTCATTTTCGTCCTGGAGTTTTCAAGATCTGTTTTTGAAAGAAAGGTGAGCTGGATATTAGGAAACAGAAAAGACTAAACATACAGGAGTTTCAAGTTCTCAAATCCTGGTATCACATCTCTTAGTATGCAGCTATGTTCAGCGATTTCAGTGGATCAGTTGCAAAAGAAATGTCTGTTCAACAAAAGGGAGGATGACAGAATCGGGACTGAAGTAAACTAATTTACAAGAACATAATTAAACAGATCCTATGGCTAATTTTGTTCTTATACTAGGCTTATGCTACCCTAGTTTTGATAACCAGAAAGGAGTCAGAAGCATAACTTAAAAATAGGTCCTTAAGCCACTGTTTCTTCTGAAATGAAGGCTCTGATGAAAATAGCATCAAGATCCTACTGAGCTCCTCTAACCAACCGTAAAATAACGCAAATAACACAGCTATTCAGAAAAACATATATGTATCTTTTCAAACAGAAAAGAAACCACTCAACCATCTCCCTGCAGCAGAATCCCTTGTAAGATCACTAAGCTCTGGTGAAGGCAAGAACTTTGCACCTTGGCGTATTGACCTAGTGCTCTGCTCTGCCTGGCTTCAGGCCTTCTGTGATCATTTTAAGCGGTGTAAGAGGGGAAACAAATGCTAACAAGTATACATAAATGCAAAATTGCAAAGCAGCAGTATTTTATTATAAATTTATATTAACTTTCCCTCTAACTGGTGACTCAAGATCCAAGAAAGTATGGCCTCATTATATCCTTGAATTAAGCTACATGTAACATTCAATACAAACGAAGATTGTGGTTCTACACTAAGAAAGATTTTTCCATGAATAAACCATATATTTTTCCATAATAAAACCAAACAGAAGACAATTTAAAAAAAAAGTTTGTTTATAACCTTGTAAAGGATACTAACGCACAGTCTTTAAAATAAGGCTGTCTTTATAACCAAGCATAATAGGAGTAGTGAGTTGACCAACAGTAGCTATTTCCCAAAATATAGAATTTTTTAATATTGAAAAACAACAGCTGTTACAGTCAGAACACTGAGCAAGAGTGATTAGAATTTCAATGCTTCATTTAAAAAAAATAGATTTATTGCCCCAATAAGATACTGTTCTATTATTCTTTGTTACTGCACATAAAACTCGTGGGGGGGGTTTCTTGAAAGGGCTATTTTCAGCTTTCCAACTGAATTTCCATGCAGATACATGTCAGGGTCTACATTTTCACTCACACAGTAAGTTTGGGTCTTTCAGCTGGTACTTCAGAGAAGAGACGAGACACGCTATTCTACACTGCAACGAATACAGCTATGCAATTTAGATTTTAAAATTTACAGGAAAAAAAAAAACTATTTTACATATAAAATTAATTTAGAGCAAATTTTGCCCTCTTGCATCACAACGACCGTGAGTCATAAATCTTACGTAATACCTATCATTTCTGTAATTAAGATGAATTGGTTTACCACTGCTTTCTAAGCACGTACATTCATTTATTGCAAATATAGTCCTTTAGAAAAGTCAGTTGTCTTTGAGCTGTCCGACACACCGTACGAGCAGGATGGGATTGGGCTGGGAGCACCTTGGGAAGAGACGTGACCCGCAGGACATGCCGAGGCATTCAGAAAGGCACGTCCTCCTTATCCCACAGGTACCCAGCAGGGACCCACTGCAGCTCTGCAGTTTCATCTGTTGCAATTTTGTACTGCAGAAGTTATTAATCACTGATTGCAGACAAAGGCTGCTGTCACAGGGGAATAGTTTTTTGGGAAACAAGAGGCAATGCAGAATCCATCAGAAAATGATGAATATGAGTCATACTACAATAAAAGAATAATTTTTCACTAATTAGCAGGAAGCTCTGCATCCTACTTTCTAGAGTGGTTTAAGTACCAGACTAATCACACAGCTGCAGAAATATCATCACTTAATTCATTTATATATTTGTATATTCTCTTTATACATTGTCTGGCACCACTTTGAAAATAATTAAAAATCACCATGTGAAATAGTAATAGAGTTCTCTATTAGCATTATACAATGAAGTCCAAACCTCAGACCTTGGAAAATACTCGCTGCTTATATATGAGATTCCGGTCTGATTTTCAGGCATCTCTTTAACATATTCAGAGTATTAAAGGTCAAAGCCAATCATGTTCAGTAGAATAGCAGGAGAGATGGTTTCTTTTTTTGGTTTGTTTGTTTGCGGTTTCTTTGTTTGTTTTTTGTTTGTTTTGTTTGTTTGTTTTTTTAATAAAACCAGTATCCAAACAGCAGTAACACTAGGGAGTAGTGCTGTATCTTCTAACAAAACTTGCTATTACATGAAATCATTGGGAAGGAACATTAACTTCTCAGAAAACTGACAGGGTAAATAAAATACTGTAAGAGGTGGGCAAATAATGGAAAAGATTGTTTACTTTTACAGATCGATTTGTATCTCTGACATCAGAGGCGCTTATTCCACTGAAATGTCTTAATAGATAAAATATAACTGGAAACAAAGAATGAAGATAAGAACAGGATAGAAGACGGTTTTGAGAAGCTATGAGTCAAAACAGGACTCGCTTTTCAGCCCCCCATGGGATGACAATACCTCATCGTTTTGTTTGAAAGAAAAGGGCAGAAACATAGAAAATATTTCTGCATTTTATCTATTGATCTACTACAGATTGTCATATCAGTGGACTTTAAAAATGTTTTTTACCTACTTTCTCAAACTGGTCACCAAAATAAAGTGTTTTAATTAGTTTCTCTTGCCTACATCTTTTTACTTCTTACTGGCATTTATTATGATTTATTATGCCCCACTTTTAACTCCTTTCATCTGAAATGCTACCATTCCAGTAGGAAATGAGCAACTTCATTACTGAACTGTACCAGGCAAAGTCTCTAATCATAACAAAGAAAATATTTTGATAAAAATGTTACAAAAACCTGACTACACAAGAAAAAATTATTCAACTTAAAACCAATCCAGAACTGTGTAATTTGCAAATTAAATGTTTTTATTGCCTGTTTATAGTTTGCCACATAGAAGAAAGTTTAAAATTAGCAACTGAGACTTTTCTTACTCCTGAAACAGCATTTTCTTCTCCCTTCCCATGCTAATACATATATTTGCCTCATTGCTTTAGTACGAAGTACATAAAGTCACACCAACTGAAATACACATGCCATTGCAATAAAATGGAGCAAGAAAATGTAATTCAGCTTTATTGAAAAGTCTTTTATTCTGCCTGAAAAAGAAGAAGAATGAAATGTGTTCTTGCACATTTAAACAGCAAGGATATGAAAACCGCATATTCCATTGGGTTCTCTCCTTCCATTTAATAAGCTAAGTTTTAAGTCTCAAGCACATTGCTAAGAAAGACTTCAAAATATTGGTTGTATCACATTGTGCCAAGAAACCCGTGTGATGTTTCACCCCTGTCACACGTATCTGTACATAGGATCTTCATAAGATTAGTAGGGGCTGCTAGAAATTATACCAACTTCTAATTTTTTTTTTTTTTTTTTTTTTTTTTTTCGCAGAAAAGTCTTGTTGGTAATGGCAGGTCCCCGAACTAAATTTTTACACTTTTTTTTTTTTTTTTTTTTTTTTTTTTTTTTTACGAAGTAATGCACAGGACACATTCAGTCCCTGGAGAGGAGCAGGATTCAGTAGGTTTCCAACTCCAACTCCAGTGACACCCAAGCATCTTACTACACTCACATCTATTGATATTTATTGTCAACACGTGTTTATTAACAATTCTACCATGTTTTGATAACTGCAGAACAAGGGTTCATGCTCTGCAAACATAATTGCCCCTTAAGAACCACAAAAATATTTATTCCATTACTTCACTGGACTCATTATTCAAAGCAGCAGAACTTGTTAAATATACTTTATGTATAATTCTGTACTTGTAGGATGTTCAAGTACCTAAATGAGTCAGACAACGAAATCTTTACTGTTTTCTTGAACAGGTGATTCTGATGTGGGGGCTTTGTTCAATGTTAGCATATAATGAAGTACTAATTCACAACCTGCTCGCCCAGGTAAAAGTCACATTATTAAGAAAATTAAATACCAGTCTCTCAGCTCTTAAAAAAAACCAAAAAAACCCCAACCAGCCTCAGTGTGTTGTAATAGCTGCGTTGGTAATGACAACTTCTGCAGAAAACAGAATAAGACAAATCTGTTTCTTTAAAAAAAAAAAACAAAACAAAACAAACACCCACAAAAAACTCTCCACCATCACCTAAATTGCCTACATGCATAAACAAGCCTTCTTCCTCACCACTCTACATCCCAAAATTGGCTACACCAAGGCATTTCCATGACCATGGATTTTATACTTCTTTAGACAGACAGCAGAAACTGAGTGTACATTTGGCATAGTTTCTTAAAAATACGTTTCTTAAAAATACTTGTATCCACTCAACAGAATAGTTGTTTGCACGACCTGTTAACCCCAACACACTGCCTGCAGACATACAGCACTTGGAAAAAGCACAGTAGAGCTCCACATGGAGCAAGTGAAACTTTCTGCTGCCTTCCCTGGGCTTCAGATCAAGCCTGGGAGAATCATGCTGGGGTGCGAGGGAGGGATGAGACCAAAAATTATCTCCATAATCATCAATTATTGTTGGAGGTAGAAAGGAGAGAGCAGAATAATGTTGACAGTGCAAAAGTGAACATTACTCAAAGCATGCAAAAAGTCAGGGTGATTTGTCACTCTGGAAGAGATCCACCAGCTACTGGGGAACCACCTCCACAGTTTCATTTTTGCCAGGCTGGTGTTACAGGAAAATCACGTAATTTCAGAGCAACCTCTACAAAGTCTCTTAACGCTGTGACACACTGCTGAACTTTCATTTTATAGCACGACGTTTACCTGTACAAAGGTAACAGTACAGCAGGTTACACACACACACTATAGAGTATTTTTAAAACCCCATTTTGATAAGAGAGGGGCAGCTCCGGTGCTGTTGGTGTACTCCTGCAGCCCAGGACAGCAGCACCGCTCCTCCAGGT